AGAAGGTTTGTGGGTTGCTGTGTTCCATTGCTAATGCCAACGTTTCGTAAACCTTATGTCATTTATTTCATCAGGGCGAGGAGTGCTCTCTGATACGTTATATATAAATAAATTATTTTTTTAATTGAACCACTTGTTTTTGAAGGAGGTTTGCAATATTAATTAAAGTTTAAAAAATTCATTATATATCCTATTTCATTATTATCATTATTATATTATCATTATTTTGACAAATTTAATGTTTTTCCCTTTTCTTTAAATTATACAGACATAACAAAATTTAATTAAAAACTTAATCTCAGAGTGTTTCAAACTGTTGATTCACCGCTTGTGAGCAGCAAGAGCGGACTAAATTGACAATGAATCGAATAGTCCTCTCTATTTGCAATTTTTCCTCTCTTTTGCAATTTTTGTAATAGTTAATGAAATATTAATTTTTAAAGAAACGCACATTCAGCCCATCTACTACCAAATGTAAGTGCGTGGCGTAATATGACTGCCCAGCGTTCAAGGTTGATAGACACGTGGAGAGTAATTTATTATTATAAATGATAATAACACATCGATCGGCGCAATTAGCGCATGGACTATGATCATTAGCTCTGCTCTAGGCTATGATTATCCTCTATTTTTTTTATTAAAATTAAATTTTCTGAGGATATAAGAAATATATTTTTGTATGTATGTGTCTAAGTGTGCGCTGCATACGTTGCGTGCATACGAGTACATTTATGAACAGTGAAATGTGACATAGGATTGTGTGCTAAAAATAATTTTATTCGTTCTTTTCCTGGTAGGAAAATGACAAAGCGATCATTTTCTCACTATTTTGCTATAGATAACATGGTGCGTTTTTTGAAGTATTTCAATACATCAAATCTATAATCTTTTAATGCAAGAACTGCTCAAAGTGTCATCTTCTCTCTCTCTTGTACATAAAATTTTGCCATTCAAACAATGCTGCGTGTTGCATGGTAAGCTACTTGATTAACCGCACACAAGTGATGAGTGTTAAAAAATAACTTTTTCCTCATTTTAAATGTAAATATTTTTGTCAACGATTTTTATATTGGTCCATATATTGTCTTCTGCCGTGATTAAATGACACTTAAATGAACTAGGGTAAATCGCCCAAGAGTGAGTTTTTTCTTTGAGACTATGTATAAGGACTTTGTACAGTAAAGTGATACTTTCAAATTATATTCTTTACACTTTAAACTAGAAATTTGTCAAGTGTTAATTTAATACTATTACTTGGTTTTACAGGAGATTAATTCTATTAAGAAGGGAAAAATGCGAACTCTTGAGCAAATGTTTTCTTAAGAGCAAATTTGAAATTTGCGTATGAGAGAGAAGACGGCACTTTGAGCAGTTCTTGCATTAAAAGATGAGAATGGATTAGGTTTATTGGAAAAACTATATACTATAAAGAAAAACAAACCATGCTAGCTATAGAAAGGTGGCGAGGAAATGATAGCACTCTGTCATTTTCTTGTCACAAAAAGAATAGATAAAATTATTTTTCAGCGCGCGATTCTATATAATGTCACACTTTGCCATTCATAAATATACGCACACAAATATGGACACATACACATATACGTACAAAAATACATTTCTTATGTCATTAGAAAATTTGGTTTTAATAAAAAAGATAGAGGCTAATCATAGCTCAGAGCGGGGATTCAGCGCCATTCGCCGATCGTTACCATTGTCGTTCGTAATTAATTAATTTTCTACCGACAGACGCAGGGTCTCACGAGACCCGCGAGTTAGAGTTGTCTATTTTTTTCAACTGTGAAGAAAATGAATAAATGAATATTTGCCTCTATGATGAATATGTGTTTTTATTTCTCCTTTATATTTGAAATAATTATAATAAGAAACTGCTTTTCAAATGTTTTAAAACAATTTCATTCTTGGGTCGCTTTTAACTCTGCGTTCACCGTACGTGTGAATATCACGACGTCCACTACCCGAGGGTTACCTTTCCATAGAAATGGGCATAAGTCTGGATCTACAATGACGAGAATTGATTATGATTTGTCCATTTCTTATGGCTTATGGCTTAAAAATGTCACAAATGGAGGGATCTGGCTCAGGGACGGGAACAGTGGCGGGATTTGGTATTTGCGGCAATGAGCTTTCGAGTTCCTGACGCCTAATAATAATAATAATAATAATTTGTCTTAAAAATCAACAAGCCACAAATAGACGAATTATGAGTTTGTATTTCTCTAATTAGCTAAACAGATTATTATTTTATTAGTATTAATAAAGTGCAATAGTTAGTTTCGGAGAAATAAGGGGTCACTTTAGATCTACATGTCAATATCGACAATTTTTTTCTATAATAATAATAAGAAAATATCAAAGATAGTTAAAGGAATAATTTTTGCATTGTTTGTTTTAGAAAAATTCAAGTTTAGCGAAATGTAAAAGAAATTGCTCATAATCATGTATAATTTTGTAAACACAATTATATAAATATATAAATATAAATGAGGACTCTCAATCTTAGCAATTAAACAATTTTCCAATAAAAATGTAATTTACAAGATTCCTTGCAAAGATCGCGCTGTATCGTATGTTGGATAAACAGGTCGAAAATTAGTCATTAGAATATCTGAACATTGAAATCACATTAACAGTAGTAATAGAAACCACTCATGATTACAGAACATCGACTTTAACCATGAATTCAATTGGGAGAATGTTCAAATTCTTGATATGGAGAGATTTCTCAATAAACGACTAAATTTTGAAATGTCTCATCTATATGTAAAAGAATGGACTTAATTTAAGAACGGACACGGAATGCTGGCATCATTCGTATGCCTCCTTATTGGACACGTTTAAACAAAATTGATTTTCGAATTTTGTTGTAAGTATTGGTTGACACTCTTAGTTGTATTTATTTTCAATGCTTGTTTGTTACATTGTAACGTTTAATTTTAAATGACACGTTATGACCCATCAAACGAGAATGAATTGAAATGGATTGAAATAAATTCAGATTTTCTGAAATACGGATTCATGAATGTTAAAATAAATCCTTTTCAATCCTGAATGCATTTTATTTATAGGAATGGCATGGAATATAAATATATATATATATATATTTCTATACTTTTTAATCTAAAAATAATATTATAGTATTTTGTATGCATCGTGAATACTGCTTAATTTAAAATTTTGAATATGAAATGCAGTTTTTCAATCCAGTTGAACCTAAAAATAATATCAGTTATTTCTATGCATTGTGAATACTGCTAAATTCAAAATTCTGAATAGGAAATGTAGTTTTTTAATCCAATTGAATAAAAAAAAGTTTTTCTTTTAATGGCCCATTTTCTTAAAATGGGCCATAAATACTATTCAAAATTGTGAATAGAAAATCCATTGTTTTAAAAATGCATTATAAATGCTATTTTATTCAGAATTATGAATAAGAAATTTTTCGCTTTAATTCAATTGAGTTAAAAAAAGTTGTACCGTAAAAATATATTATGAATTCTATTTCATTTGATAGAAATTTAAAAGAAACATTTAAAAAAAACATAAAGAAAACTACGTAAATATGTAAATAAATGTATGTAAATTCCTTATTTTGAATTAGTAAATTAATCACTTTTATGTATGCTTTATATTAATACATTTCCTTTATTATACAGCTAGCGTATATTTTTTGTATAAAAGTTTTAAAATAATGACTATAGAATTTCATGTAATTATTACTTTAATTTATTTAATAAACTTTCACATATATAAAAATTTTTTTTTATATTGAATTTAATTCATTTTTATGGATTTAAAATACGGATTCAGGTGGATTTAAAATTTCTAATCCAATATTTCAATATATTTTTGTTTACTGGGAACATACACGAGTTTATATTCAAAAGAACGATATATATATAATATATAGTTTAATTTTCTTATTTAATTTTATAATTGTGAATCATTATTTCTGAGCTGTATTTTGTTTCCTATTGAGGTGAGTCATTTGTTTTATTATTCGATTTTTTCTTACTTTATAATGGCAAATTGTAAAATTGATATAGTTGATTGCTGCATTTCTACCAATCTGTAAGTAACTTGCTCTCAATGGAAGAGTTTTGTATTCGCTGAGGAAGACTAAAGGGAATCGAAACGTTCGAAATAAAATAAAGATAACCATTAATACTTATAGTATATTACTTCTTCTATCTCTTCGCTTTTACATCCGTGTGTGACTCTCATTAGCCTTATCTGAATTTTTATTTTATTGTTTATAATTTTATATGTAATTATTATGAAAAATTCTTTTACATTTTTACAAACTTGGTTTTTTTCTAAGACAAACAAAGCAAAAATGATCTTTTTAATCATTTTAATTATTTTTTCATTATTATTATTATTTTTACTTTAAAAATAATTTTACTAATTTTAATAATTTTTTAAATGAAAGGATATATGAATTGTATGGACATTTTTCATGTATAATTATATATGTTTATAAATAT